AAGATGTGTTTATTCGCCGTCTTGATGATGATAAACCTGGACTGTCACGTGATGACAGAGAATTTATTGAATCTATGGATACAAACTTTTGGAAGGACTCAAGTGGTAATTGGTCCGCCCCACTACCGTTTCGACAAGATCGTCAAGTTCTACCAAATAACAGGAATCTAGCATGGAAAAGAGCCAAAGGTCTAGATGCAAATCTTCGCAAAGATCTTCAGAAGCGTGAACATTTCTTCACGTTTATGAACACAATTCTAGAAAAGGGTCATGCTGAGAAGGCCCCACATATCAACGATGATCAGGAACAATGGTATTTACCTATTTTCGGGGTTTATCACCCCAAGAAACCTGGAAAACTTCGTGCTGTGTTTGATTCCTCTGCACAATTTGATGGCGTGTCTCTCAACAATGTGTTGCTTAGTGGACCAGATTTGACGAATAATTTAATCGGTGTTTTGCTCCGCTTCCGAAGGGAGCAAGTGGCCATTATGGGCGATATAGAACAAATGTTTTACAGTTTCAAAGTGGATGAAAAACACAGAGACTATCTACGATTTTTCTGGTACACCGACAATGATTTTGACAAGCCTCTAACAGTGTATCGCATGTGTGTGCACGTATTCGGCAATAGTCCTAGCCCTGCTATTGCATCATACGGACTTAGAAAAACTGCCATGGAAGGAGAAAATGAGTTTGGCTCCGATATGCTTGATTTTGTCACTAGAGACTTCTACGTTGACGATGGGTTAACTTCAAAACCTTCTACCGCCGAAGCAATTGATCTCATGAAGAGAACCAAGTCAGCTTTAAAGTCTATTGGTAACATTCGACTGCACAAGATATCTTCAAATGTTGAGGAAGTTATGCATTCAGTTGACAATGACGATCTTGCAAATGGTCTTAAGGATCTCGACCTTAGTTCCGATATTCTTCCAGTACAACATAGCCTCGGTATGAACTGGGACCTGAAAATTGATACTTTTATGTACTGCATCGATAGAGATATCAAACCATATACTCGTCGAGGATTATTATCCACAATAAACAGTATATTTGATCCACTTGGATACTTAGCGCCAGTAACTATTAAAGGAAAATTACTGCTCAGGTCAGTTATGACAGGACATATCATGTGGGATGAACCATTACCGGAAGAGATTTACAACGAGTGGGAATCTTGGAGAACGTCACTCTTCGATTTGGAAAAAGTAAAATTTAAACGGATGTTTGTACCAACTTCATTTAGCTCAGCGAAAATAAGGAAGATCCACATTTATTCCGACGCATCCGAGAAGGCAATAGCCGCAGTTGGTTACTTACAACTAGATGACAATAAGAATTTTGGTTTCGTTATGGGGAAGGCCAAGGTTGCACCCAATCACGGCCATTCGATTCCACGCTTAGAACTATGTGGGGCATTGCTAGCAACAGAGATAGGACAAACACTATCCGACCAGTTAGATATACCTTTGTCTGATATTCAGTATTATACCGATAGTAAAGTTGTACTAGGGTACATCTTCAATTCATCACGACGATTTTACAATTATGTTTCAAACCGTGTTGCAAAAATTCACACAGTGTCAAATTCCGAGCAATGGTCTTATGTACACACAGATGGCAACCCAGCCGATCTGGCGACTCGATCAATAATTCCTTCGAAATTAGAAAATAGTATATGGCTATCTGGTCCGGTGATAAAAAATGATGTCGATCAAACTCTTGAAAGCTTTTCTCTCATTAATCCTGACACCGATAACGAAATACGTCCTGAAATTACAAGTAGAAAAACAACGAGTCTCGAGGAGTTCTCCTTAGGATCACAACGATTCGAAAGATTTGGAAACTGGAAGTCACTCGTTAGATCAATTACACTGATAAAAAACTTTCTTGCCAATAGAATCTCAAAAGACACTAGGTGTCGGTTCAGGGATGCGGAGAAGTTCGTCGTTGGAGTGGTGCAAAACGAAATCTTTTCAGATGAAATCGATTGTATTAAAAACGGCAGGCCGCTCGGTGGACATAGTGCATTGTTGCAGTTAAGTCCATTTATCGACAATGAAGGCATTCTGCGTGTTGGTGGGCGTATCAAAATGTCAAATGTACAACCAGACGAAAGGAATCCGATTATAATACCAAGTAGACATTGGATAGCAACTTTGATCATTCGTTTCTTTCATCAAAAGATACAACATCAAGGCAGACAATTTACATCGGGAGCAATACGAACAGGAGGATACTGGATAGTAGGTGAAAAACGTCTAGTTTCTTCACTAATTCACAAATGTATAACTTGCCGTAAGCTTCGCAGACCTACCGAACAACAAAAAATGGCTGACTTGCCTAAGGACCGTGTGATTCCAGAAACACCATTCACGTCAATTGGTATCGATACCTTTGGACCCTGGTCTGTCATTAGCCGACGTACGAGAGGTGGATTCGCAAATGCAAAACGTTGGGCAATCATCTTTACTTGCATGGTCACGAGAGGTGTACATCTTGAAGTTGTTGAGGAAATGAGTTCCTCGTCGTTTATTAACGCCTTCAAGCGATTCATAGCTATTCGAGGAGAAGTAAAACTTATCAGGTCTGACAGAGGTACTAATTTCGTTGGAGCCACTGACCAACTAGGTATCGATAGTATCAATGTAGAAGATGGACCTATTAAGGAACATTTATATGATAATGGCATAGAGTGGCATTTCAATTCACCTCATTCATCTCATATGGGAGGTATATGGGAAAGAATGATTAGAACAACGCGATCAATCCTGGACTCCATGTTATCAAAACTTCCCGGAAAAGAACTATCGCATGAAGTGTTAGTAACATTGTTAGCGGAAGTGTCGGCAATAATTAACTCCAGGCCTTTAACATGCGTACCTACGGACGCAAATGAGCCATTACCTCTCACACCTAATCTTATCATCACTCAAAAGCCTAGTGTATTGATTCCAAAGGATGTGTCATTCGATTGTAAAGACATGTATTATGCACAGTGGAAGCGTGTACAATACCTTTCGGACGTTTTCTGGAAACGTTGGCGAGTGGAATACTTGCAAACTTTACAAGCTCGACAGAAATGGACTCAAGAAAGAGAAAACATTCAAGAAGGAGATGTCGTGTTGCTCAAGGACAATCAAGTTAATCGCTTAAGTTGGCCAATGGGAATAGTCACTAAAACATTCCCTAGCGCTGACAATTTAGTACGTAAGGTAGAAATTCGTATAGTGCGTACTGTGGACAAAGACTGTGTCAAACCAGCTTTCTTTGTTAGACCAGTGACAGAACTTGTGCTATTGTCTAAGAACTGGTGAATAGTGTGGTGGCATAAATAACATGCCAGACGGGGAGTGTACTGACTTGTCCGTAAATATTTCATGATGTTTCCGAAAGTTGACTTACATTTATTATCTTCTTCGTTACTTTCCCCTTATTTACATGATCACGTTAATAATTCAGCATCATTTATTGACATATCTGCCAGATTCCGGCACAGTGTAAGTTTATAGCATATTGAAAATTTGAAGAACTGTTTATTGTAAGCATACACAACATGTATTGTGTTTTGATGACGTATAAAACGTAGGGTAAATGGCAATGATGACAAAATATGCCACGTCACCAGATTATTTTTTTTTTATTGTTTCACAGCCGTTTGTTATTACTTGTAAACACACAGAGACAAGATTACACTATAAAAATGTTCTATAAATATTCAAATACCCATTTTGGTAATTTTTGTATGATTCATAACACCCCCCTCATTTCGATATTTTTAAAGTATGGAAAGCAGTTTGTGTCATAATTTGCATACATAATTTTTGATACTTGTAGAGTTTTCAACACATTAAAAGCTGTTAACACCAATTTTGACCCACAGTTATGTTACCAAACTTGATATATTATTATTGCTTTTATTTTTTATGTGAATGTATGGAACACAATTAGTGTCATAAGTCAACTTTGTATTTTTGTATGTTTTGGCAAATTGTTTTGATTGATAGGTTTTATATTGTGTTTTCATTTGTTCTTTCAGCTTTTTACCGTTCACTTTGGAATTATACTCACCTGTCATCATTTGTAATCATTCATTGAACACCAGCATACCTTTGTTATTCATGCTACCTTGTGTTAATAGAGTGGATTATATGACAATAAATATAACGGTTATCTTTAATGAAGTCCATTATTTAATGCCCAGCAAAAAATAGATGGGAGTCATTACACTATTTGTTTTCCGTTTATTGTCTTGTACATTGTGTTCTTGTGTTGTGCTGTTGCACCACTGTTCCAGGTTAGAGGAAGGGTTGGACGCCCGCTTACATGTTTTATAACCAAGCCACATTCTGTATGTGCCTGTTCTAAGTCAGGAGCCTGTAAAAAGTAATCGTCGTTTGTTGCTGTATATCATATTGTTTCTCGGTTTTTGTTTGGGACCAGATCTTAAGTGTTTTCGTGTGAATCGTTTTACGTGTGTCATTTGGGGCATTTTATAGTCAGATATGCGGTATGAGTTTTGTACATTGTTGAAGGCCGTACGGTAACCTATAGTTGATAACTTCTACGTCATTTGGTCTTTGGTAAAGAGTTGTCTCATTGGCAATCATACTACGTCTTTTCATGTTTATATAAAATGCGTTTCTACATTAACCTGCAACATATAAAATCGAATACCGTACCGTAGTTAGGCTGCCAAATACATTAAAGTGTAAGCCGTATCAAAATAAAAATAGCATATGACAGTGACTTTGAATTTTTCCTACCACATAAAAGCTCTGTATCAAGTCTCTTTTGCGTTATAATAATTTTCAAACTAAGCAAATATGATTGAAAACATCGAAAGGAACGCAATTAAATATTACTGGTATTTCAAAAAAGAAGTTTTTTTTTTTGGGGGGGGGGGGGGGGTGTTAGATTTAAATCACTAAAAAATAAATACATATTTGCTCCAAGCTGCTGTTCATCATCACGTTTATCTTTTAATTATGTATTACCTCAATTTTGCTCCAGCTCTTGTATCATTGTAGATATCACATCTATGAAGAGGACCTGAATAGCCTATTTCATCACACAATGCTTTGTGCCATTGAAATTGTATCACAAAACTGACGAAATATCTAAACAATAAATGTATCATTATAGAATCATGTGCAAAACAGTGTAGGCGAGACCATTGATTGGCGCTCTAAAATATCCCATTGACTGGGTCAGATTAGGTGAACGTTCGTCTGTAACGCCCACAACTCACGACGTATTTATTATAGACATTTAAACTGTGGGGTCACCAAAGGGTCTCAACGCCTAAATAAAATAATTCGAAAAACTAATCAGGAATAACCTTTGTGTTTTGATTTATATTGAATACTTAAACGTTCTTTACTTGTGTTTTTGTTATGTTTTGATAATGAATTTTTATGATATCGGACGTTCTTTCAGCAAAAAAGGATTTAACTGGCTTTAAAAGTTACAATGGATGTGTTGATTATTATCTTTTTTTCGGACGTCAAAGCGATTTAACAATTGCGGTTGTCCAATTATGTCATCTTTTAACTTTTATCTGGTCAAAATTTTATTTTAGAACGAATGCATGATCAACTTTAAAAAGTGTGCAAACACAAAACATATAGACAAATATAATACTTCTTTCCTGTCTTTTTCGTACTTGCAAGTTATTAGACAGTAAAAAGGCTATTTGGATCAAGCCTTATGAAATTTGCATTTACGTTTTTGAATAGGTACAGTCAAGTTTAGCGATTGGTAATTCATTGATAACATTCTGGCGTATCACAAACAAACAACTTGCAACGTCTCATTTCATTGGCCGAAAGATTTAAATACAACAACAATTGTAGTGTGCACGTGAATTGACACAGGTGACCGACAATGGAATGTACTACGTTACTACGAACGTAAAAAAACAATGATTTTTGGTCGAAATAATTAAATAAGTATTTTGTGAATTTCAAATAGTGGGGTCGAAATATTATACTAATAATTTGTGTTAAGTAATATTCTTTATGCATGCAGCACTTGTACCGCACTATGAAAAATATAAGGATAAAATAAAATACATGTGCGGCTTTATACGGATGAATGTATGAACCACTTTAATTTCTTTCATATTGACGCTAGGTTATTATCCTGACAATGTCGTAGTTACTTATAATAAGGATCTCATAATACTGATCCATTTTAAATTTATGATGGGTTGCACATTCCTCTTTTATTGTTTTCATGCTATAAAACGAAAATAAAGTAGCTAAGCGTTTGGTCATTCAGAAATGACGTGTCATAAACGAGCAAATTGTCCCCGAAAGATCATATCATGTGTGCACGTGAATATAGATGTACTATGCAATGTACTATCATGGTCACCACGAAATTCAAATGAATTCAGTGAAGGCATGTTGGTGTAAAAAGGTTTGAAATGTTTCATCGGCGAAGATTTTATTTTTGCATGTGTGGAACTAAAAAATAAATAAATACTTGTGAGAAATGTCGTAGTTTATAAGGAACTATATAAATGTACTGTTTTCGACTTTAATTGGTTGAAAATTTATCCTTTAATTTCATACCGTAAGAATAGAGCTTTGCATAACATTGTTGAACTATCCGCCAAAGTAACGTGTGGCATGCGTGCGTATTAAAATGAAATACAAAATCATACATGTATGATAAACTTATAAACGAAATATTAAGAAATTAAGGATGACTACCGTAAAAGTATGTACAAAAATGGAGTCACCTTTTATCAAAACATTTAGTGAATAACCACACTGTTTAAAACTGATTGTTTTCTATGCAACTATTTAAATATTTACAATATATAATTTTCAACCGAGGATAGCAAAACAGTTAATTATAAATTAAGAAAGTATATCGCTGGAGTTTATAAAGTACATTTCCTTCCACTGTGCCATGGTTTGCCATCTCCATTTTTTCTCTAAACAAAGCATGGCTGGTTACATGTTCTGAATTTACTTAGAATTTCGGGATTTTTTTTTCAAAATCAAGTAAACTAAATCAGAAAAAAAATCACACTATCCTAAAACTTATGAAAGAATATGAATAATGAACATGACAGTTTATAACACAAACCCATTTACTATAAAAATCGAGCAATATCTTTAGTATGTAATTTGGTTATTTTTGTAGTTAAGTACGGTTTCATTTCAAGTACAACGTTAATTCATCAAGTCCATTGGATAAAAGATAAGGCAGGGTGAGCAACTTGACAAAAAAAAGGCAGGATGACGATTTATGTAAAAAAAATCAGGATAAACTAATAAATATAGTCAGGACCTAACAGACTGAAAAATAGACAGACAGGACAGAGATAACAACTAAAAAAAATGCAGGACAAAATGTTTCATCCAAGTCCCCTACCCCCAATCAAAATAAAATGGTAGCTCCCTTAATCCAGAACCAATTGAGAGGAGACAGTTGCATTAAATATTTCGACGTGACTGTTAAGATTAAAGTTTAAAATTTTACATGCACATGTATAAAAGCTAGAATTGCCATGGGATAATCAAGAACACAATCATGTACGTGAATACGACGATGGAAGTTTTTAACGACCTTGACCGGCTACGTGAATACTGATCAGTCCATTCAGCTTTATAGTACGCGTGTTCTATTTTCGCAGGTGTGAGGTCGAAGGTTTGAATTGACCAATGAAAACGATCGTTCCTTAACGAGTTAATCTAATAAAGTTTGTTTGACTGATTATGTTGCACGACCATTCGCTAAGCTTGGCCGCAGTTCAGTATACAATGTATAGTTTGGTGATCTTTTCTGCTAACTACTATACTTGTGAAAAACCCTTGGCAACAGAAACATATTCAGCTTTTATTTTAATCGACCCAATTAACATAGTAATGGACGACTTCGTACATTTTATGATCGCAAATAAAATATGTATATAATATACTGTGCACTGTAGTTCGTATATATACTGAGACCCTTTGGCAACCCCACAGTTTAAATGTTTATAATAAATACGTCGTGAGTTGTGGGCGTTACAGACGAACGTTCACCTAATCTGACCCAGTCAATGGGATATTTTAGAGCGCCAATCAATGGTCTCGCCTGCACTGTTTTGCACATGATTCTATGTTTACAGTAGATTTTTTAATATATTTGAGATATACTTATTTTCATAATTTTCCTTTCGAAAGAAACCATTATATTTTTGAATGTTATATATAAAAATGAAAATGTACGAAACATGTGGAAATAGTGAAATCTTTAGTCTGTTTTGTAAATCCTTAAAAAATGTATTATAGAAAGTCATATTTCTTCAATAACGTCGTTTGTTTTGCAACTGTGTTTTGTGTATACGACATATACAGATCTGACAATTCATTTTAAAATGTTTGCTCAGACAAGTAGTCATTAGGCATTATGTTAACATGTTAAATATTAGATTAAGGGGCTATTGAAACGATTCGCTAGCATGCATATGTTGTTCAAATATTTTATAATATAAAACAAGTTTGATACTGTTGCAAATAATATCAGATTACCTGATATATGGTGTGTTTCCAGGTATATGGTATTTTGCACCAGGGTCAAAATCTTGTTCTGTTCGCTGAACTGGAGGTGAAATACCTTGATAGCCACATCTTATACATACAAAAAAATATATACGTATATCGATTATGTCAAAATAACCCGTTATGGATTATATTCATCCATTTTTGATAATAAACTTTTCAAAATTTGAAATGCGAAGCTAGCCGACTGTGTTTTTTTTTATAGGTAAAATGGAAGTATCTGTTTTTCTAATTATTTCAGGAAAAATATTTCGAAATGATTTTGCGAGAAATAACATACAACAATTTGATCCGCGTGTGGTTTATAAAAAAAGATAATCGAACTCTCTGAAACGGTTTACAAAATGAAAACAACACTTTATAAATTGTATGCTTCCGAAGCGCTTTTCTTGATTTACTTTCACCAGGAACGCTCAAAGCCGAAAATTTGAAAGCCAAGATATTATAAGAACCGAACATGTACAGATAATATGAGAAATTTAAAAATGTTTGTTATAATCTTAGTTTTGTAACTAGAAAAACGTATCAGCGATGTTGGAAATAAAATAAGCATTAGTTTTCTTTAACTTTAACAAAATTCTACGCGTTAGGTAAATTAGATAAATATCATTATAAAAATACCTAAGATCCCACCAATTTGCAGTGTAATTATTAGGTGTTGTATCGCTTCGAAACACACTCCATCTCCACTGATCAATGAGGTATCCAAAGGGCAGGAATGCAATTTTGTCCAGCGCCATTTGCATCAAAAAATTGATATCGCTCTCTGAGAAAAGATAAACATGTTGTTTGGTGTTGTATTTTGAGGGAAGAGAACAAGGTAAAGAAGGGGGGCTTTAATAAAAAAGATATACATACAGAGATAGCCGCCGGAGGGCCAAAGGGCCGTGATAATAAATCCATTCATTTGAAATAACGTTTTAATATAAAATTCCGAAGGCGTGATTTAGAGGATTATGCCAGACAACGGGCAAACATAAAAGAAGAGAAACAGGTTGTAGTTATTCTTTCCGAAGGTTTGTGAAGTCGTTGATAAAAAGAAGAATTTACAAACTAACAGGTATATGAATACTCTTTCAACATCTATCTTAATAGGCCAAAATGTTGCATGAAATCTGTCTTACATGTTGTACCTCAATGACAAATATGTTGTTGTACCTGCAGACAAGGTTTATATATATATATATATATTATTGAATGTCCCTCTGGTATATTTCGCCTCTCTTTTAAGATCGCATGGCAACCAAAATTATACCAAAATTACAAAACAGAGGAAATTCTCGACAGTATTAGATTCATTTAGCAATTTTGAGAACTGGTTAATCCTTTACTCTGCTTATTCTCAAAGATTATAAAAAGAAACAATAAAATCACTACGCGCATGTGAAAACCCCAAAAGCAAGGGAACGGCGCCTTTATTACTGTTCTATATCTGAAAGTCACAATGGGGCCTTCACATGGGACAAAAACCCACTACTCCACTAGGAGTGAAATTCTTTGTTTAATGTCGGTTGTGCTACATCTGTGCATTGAATTACACAGCTGCGTAGTAATATCAACAAATTGTAAATTTTGTCTGGCAAAGAAATAAAAAGAATACTGTCATAAAATCTAAAAAAAACTTTATGTAAAATACATTAACTCATAATTTCTAATTTGTTGGAAATTTTCACATGGCCTGGACCGCGGTTATATTCGAATTTTAACGAAATAAAAGTTAACGAATATAACGGCCCATGCCATGCAAATCTATGGATTGCATGAATTCATTCGATTCTAATAGGACACGGTAATTTAAAAACCTATAGCGAAAATTAGTGCTCCGTTTGTGTGGATATTTATTTTACCCCCTGTAAGATAGAGCATGGATTATTTCTTAAATATCAGAGTCAGAATTAATTTTTTTATCCTTATAATTTTCAACCCAAACATTTTGTTTTTCGTTGGCTTCTATGTTTATCGTCAATTTTACAGTTAATTTCTGTAACTAAGGATTGAGCCGCCATGTTGACTTGCTGAAATCCATAAATGTGAGAACAATGCAGTAGAATAAAAAACACCTACCTAAACAAGAGTGCACACGCTGAAATGTCTCGCCTTCTTTACTAACCATTGATATTATGTTGATAGTCCTAAATATAAAGCTTTACTACAACTATCACATAAACTTAACATGATCCAAGAAAATGAGGTCAAAGTCAGATAAAGCAAACGATAAATACATGTACACCTGACAATCATTCAATACACCAAATATAGTTAACCTATAGCTATTTGCCAAAGTTTCGAAGATACAGACTTAACAAAGAAAACTAAACATTGACCAATGAACCATGAAAATGAGGTCAAGGTCAGATGAACCATGCCAGGCAGACATGTACACCTTACATATAATCTATGCATTAAATATAGTTGACCTTTTGCTTATAGAATCTAAGAAACAAACTTAACCATGAAAACTTAACATTGACCAATGAACCACCAAAATGGGGTCAAGGTCAGATGATACCTGCCATACAGACATATACAGCTTACAATCCTTCCATACAACAAATATAGTTGACCTATTGCTTATAGTTTAGGAAAAAAGAACAAAACACAAAAACTTAACACTGAGCAATGAACCGTGAAAATGAGGTCAAGGTCAAATAAAACCTGCGAGACTGACATGCACATCATAAAATATTTCCATACACCAAATATAGTTAACCTATTGCATATAGTATTAGAAAAAAAGCCAAAAACTCAAAAACTTAACTTTGACCACTGAACCATGAAAATGAGGTCAAGGTCAGATGACACCTGCCAGTTGGACATGTACACCTTACAATCATTCCATACACCAAATATAGTTAACCTATTGCATACAGTATAAGAAAAACAGACCAAAACACAAAAACTTAACTATAACCCTTGACCCATAAAGGAGGTAAAGGTCAGATGACACCTGCCAGTTGGACATGTTCACCTTACAATCCTTCCATACACCAAATATACTAGACCTATTGCTTATAGTATCTGAGATATGGACTTGACCACCAAAACTTAACCTTGTTCACTGATCCATGAAATGAGGTTTAGGTCAAGTGAAAACTGTCTTACGGGCATGAGGACCTTGCAAGGTACGCACATACAAAATATAGTTATCCTGTTACTCATAATAAGAGAGAAATTAACATTACAAAAAATCTTTACTTTTTTTTTAAGTAGTCACTGAACCATGAAAATGAGGTCAAGGACAATGGACATGTGACAGACGGAAACTTCGTAACATCAGGCATCTATATACAAAGTATGAAGCATCCAGGTCTTCCACCTTCTAAAATATAAAGCTTTGAAGAAGTTAGTTAACGCCGCCGCCGCCGCCGCCGCCGGATCACTATCCCTATGTCGAACTTTCTGCGACAAAAGTCGCAGGCTCGACAAAAACCATTTTAATGATGTGGTTTCCGAATTAAGAGGGCACGCGTAACGTTATATGATTAGCTTGAGAGTTTTCATTCCATATGACGTCATGTTTTGAAATTCATTGAATTTCGTGGAATTTTATTTTTTTTGTACATAATTTCGAGCTTTAATGCATGAATTATTTTTGTTGTGCATTTGAATAAGAATAACGGTGCTGATGTTTTTTTTTTCAATTTCATTTGTAACAATCGACATTATGTTTGCACATAGGTTAAAAGATACATTTGGATTTACGTGGGAGGATATTGTAATAACCATCAATATGTTCATCTCAGTACAGATATATCGAGAATTTTACCACGCTGTTGTTTACAAAGCAAAAGAAGCAAATCATATTATAATGTATGTTACTCACAAAACATATTTAACCTCGCAGCATTTTTGCGCCTGTCCCAAGTCAGGAACCTCTAGCCCTTGTTAGTCTTGTGTGTGTGTGTTTGTTGATTTTAGTTAATTTGTATGTTTCGGAGTTTAATGTGGCGTCCATTCCGCTGAACTAGTATACATTATTGTTTCGGGGCCAGCTGAAACCCGCCTCCATGTGCGGGATTTTCTCGCTGCGTTGAAGACCCATTTGTGGCCTTGGGCTGTTTTTTGCTCTTTGGTCGGGTTGTTGTCTCCTTGACACATTCCCCGTTTCCATTCTCAATTATATTAGATAAATTGGCAGGAAATTACGAATGAAGACGTTGAATAATTCAGTTAGACTGCATGCCAATTTTAATAAACAGAGCAAGAAAATGAAGTGACCTACCGAATTAGACTTATCACCAGGTTTGTACTTACATGTCTTTGTGATATCTCAAAGGCTTTTGACCGACTTTGGCATAAAGGTCTACTGGCAAACATTAAAACTTATGGTATAAAAGGCAAATTATTGAGTTGGATTGAAAATTATTTAAGTAATAGGAAACAGAAAGTACTTCTAAAAAAATCAGAATCCACATTTGGAACATTAAAAGCAGGTGTGCCCCAAGGCTCAGTACTTGGGTCCTTATTATTTATTATGTTTGTAAATGACATAGCAGATGAAATTCAATGTTTAGTAAGACTTTTTACCGATGATAGTTCACTTATGCATTCTTCGAATATTGTTATAGATATAAAGAGGAGATTAATTATGGATCTAGAAACTTTTAACAATTAGTCAAAACAATGGCTTGTAGATTTTAATCCTCAAAAAACAGAATATATGGTGCTTAATTTCTGGAAGGATTTCCAGCCTATTCATTTGAAATTTAATGGACAATTTGTTAAAAAAGTTGATGACCACAAACATTTGGGTGTTGCGTTTTCTAACAACTGCAAGTGGTCAGTACATATAGATATTTGCTGTAGTGCCACTAAACAGATTTTTGTTCTCGGGAAAATGAAATATATTCTTATATAAACAACACCTTCCGTTATCTAGATGATATTTTTTCGTTAAATAATCCAGAGTTCTCTAAATATACTACCGACATTTACCCAATAGAACTTACTTTAACTAAATCTAACATAAACAGCAGTAGTTGTCCTTTTCTGGATTTGGACATTTCAATCTCTAAAGGGAAACTCCATACGAAAATTTACGACAAAAGAGACGATTTTTCATTCCCTATTGTTAATTTTCCTTTTTTAGACGGCAATGTTCCTTTGGCTCCATCATACGGTGTTTATATATCCCAACTCGTTCGTTATGCCCGTGTGTGTAGTGATGTCATAGATTTTAACGAACGTAATCAATGCATCACTGGTAAATTATTAAATCAGGGATTTCGTTACCATAAATTACGTAAAACTTTTGCTAAGTTCTTTCATAGATACAAAGATTTGATTAGTAAATTTGGCTGTACTTGTAGAAAACTGATTAAAAACGGTATTTCACATCCTAAATTTTACGGTAATATTGTACTTAAAGCGCGGAAATCACTATGTGATCCGTGTAAACTCATCGAACCTTTAAACAAACTTATTAGTAAAGGTTATCCTACCAATGTTGTAATTAGATCTTTGAATATAGTTTACATTGGCACTAATATCGATTTTGTCATCAGCAAATTAAAACATAACTAAATTTGTATTCTTTTCAAACGGGATGTATAAAGACATACCCACATTCATTTTGATCTATAAAGAGGTTAATTCCTAACTATCCTACTGCCTGTCGATACATTTATTTTTGGCATTGCACAAGTCATGGCTTCTTTGACTGTCCATGACGTTAAAATACTAAATCCCTGGGATGTGTTTTAGTTGATTTTAGTCTCTGATGCATGATTTTTTATTATTAATTGTTTTGGCTTTTAACTAGCTGTC